CACAGATAGCGTCTCTCTCCCATCAGACTGGCAGAACTGAAATGTTTTACAGCATGTTCTCAAACATCGCTGGTGGGTCCTGTGATGGTGCAATCCCCATGGAGGGCCATTTGCAATATGGAGGAAAATTACTCAGATGCCTTTTTCCTTTGACCCAATCCATCCACTTCAAGGAATCCATTCCAAAGATATACTGCCAAAGAGAAAAGACATATACATGAAGTTGTTCATTGTAACTGCCTTGGTAGAGGGTACTTTACAAAAGACCGCAACAGCCCAGGGGACTGAGTAATACTGTCAAGTGTATGGTTCTGTATACTGCTGTGGAGTGATCACTGCAATATATTGTAGGTGGCAAACAAAACAAAACTCAGTAGGCAAAACCGTATATTTAAATATGCTATCTTTCTATTGAATGAAGAAGGGACTAACAATACACACTCTGCAACACACATAAGTATTATGTATTTGCTCACATCAAAAAAATAACGAAGGATAAAATAAAAATGAATTCATTATAGGAATGATACTAATCTGAATAAAATAAAAATAAAATGAATTTATTAATAATAAAGAAATACTATATGGGAATAGAAGCAGCAGGAGTCAGACACAGAGATAGCCGTTTGACTAGATGCCTTTAAATATATCTTGTTTTGTGAGTTTAGTTTTGGCATTGTGTAAAGTTTTATATCATCGTAAAACAAAATTAAATTAAGATGAAGTATAAGCAACCCGTAAAAAGCAAAAGCAAAATGAAACAAATGAACTATGTATCATTGATTAATTAAAGCCAGCAGAATTTTTTTCAAGTGGCAGAAGCAAAGTCATTTGTCTGTACTTCTCTAGTAGCATATAACCGAAGGCAGAAACAACTATAAAGAAACTTTAAATTGTTTTTAGCAATGATAGTGTTAGTAACTATTATATTTTCTACACGTACCTATATGTGTGTACAGTGTTAAGATAAAGCAAACAAGCAATTGTGTTAATACCACTATAAACAAGAATGTCTACTGAATTGAAAAGAGATATAAAATAAAGGAAGCTTACATAGATGACATTTATATATGTGAATTATATCTCAGTGAAGCTGTGACACAAGAGAAAGAAAGTAGAAATCTTGTCATCCTGAATTCAGATTGGGGACGCTAGTATAAATGCATGATGTATTTTTTCTTTAAAAAATTATCTCCTGCTTTGTCTTCCTGGAAAGGCGTGGGGAAAACGGCTAACCGTAGCAACGTGAGCACCCTAGCCATCGAGATGGTGGTCTCTGAATACTATTTCCAAGGAAAAGGAACCAGGACTCCAAGGGAGATGACCGACTCCAGGTAGAAGCAGGAAATGTACAAGATGAACCTGGGACATCTTTATGTACTGGACAGCAGGGGCGGTTTCTAAGATTCCTGGGCTGTGTCAAAAGGATTCAGGAGCCAAGATGAAAAGGCCAAAGGGAGAAGAAGAGAGAGGAGGAAACCTATGGATTTAAAAGAGACTAGAGACCAGCCCAATCGAATGTGTGGACCATGCTTTCATTCTGACCCAAATAACTATTAAAATAAGCAACAACAGCAAACATTCATGAGATAATAGGAGAAATCTGAAACTATTTATTGCTCTTAAGAAGTTATAGTTAGTGTTTCAGATTGATAATGGCTTTGAGAGGAGTTGTTTAGGTGTAGTTATGGTTTTTAAGGTGGCGTTACCTTTTAGAAATTAATGCTGAAGTATTTTATGGATAAAATGGCATGATTTCTGTGAGTTTCCAAAATAATATAGAAAGAGAATGGAAGGCGTCTAAGAGAAACAAAACTGACCGCGGATGATCATTGCTGGGATCAGGGTAACAAGTCCATGAAGGTTCACTGTTTTGTTTTTCAACTTTTTTTTTTTTAAAGATTTTATTTATTTATTTGACAGAGAGAGATCACAAGCAGGCAGAGAGTCAGGCAGAGAGAGAGGACGAAGCAGGCTCCCCGCTGAGCAGAGAGCCTGATGCAGGCTCGATCCCAGGACCCTGAGATCATAACCTGAGCCGAAGGCAGAGGCTTTAACCCACTAAGCCACCCAGGCACCCCTTGTTTTTCAACTTTTATGCATATTTGAAATCTCCCATAATAAAGAGTTTTAAAAATATATCCACAGGAAAAAAGAGCACCCTTTGCACAAAGGTGCACCCAGCTAGCAGAAAGAAATGTTTGAGGAGGTTGGCTCCGTCTGTCAAGGAATAAAGGGGGGCTACAAAATGCACAGCTAAAACACAAAGACCTCATAAAAGAACAGGGAGGAACAGATAATAAAAATAAGAAGTAGGGGCGCCTGGGTGGCTCTGCCTTCGGCTCAGGTCATGATCCCAGCGTCCTGGGATGGAGCCCCGCGTCGGGCTCTCTGCTCAGCAGGGAGCCTGCTTCTCCCCTCTCTCTCTCTGCCTGCTTCTCTGCCTACTTGTGATCTCTGTCTGTCAAATAAATAAAAATAAAATCTTTAAAAAAAAAAGAAGTAAATGGGTTCTACACTAGCGGCAAAGATTTTTAAGAAACGCTTATCAGACCCATGTCATGCTTTTTGCCAGGATCTCTCCCGTGAATTATTTTTGTTGATTACTTATAGCCTTCGTCAGTGCTAGCTGCTTTAACAGACTACCATAAGCCGGGTGGCTTCTCGACAACAGAATTGTGTTTCTCACCATTCCGGAGGCTGAAGTCTGAGATCACAGTGCTAGCAGGTTCGGGTTTTGGTGAGAGCCATGCTCAGGTTCCGATGGCTGGCTTCTCCTTGTATCCACAGATGGTGGAAAGAGAGCTAGTTAGTTCCCTGGCCTCTTCTTAGAAGGGTACCAATCCCACTCATGAAGGCTCTTCCCTCAGGTCCGATTACCTCCCAAAGGCCCCCCACCTCCGAGCACCATCACCCTGGGGATGAAATTTCAACATAAGAATTTGAGGGAACACAGACCTTCAGGCTGTAACAGTAATACTGGAACCGATGCTTTCTTGGGTCATATTTTCACTTGTGTATCTGTGTACGTTTGACTGTTGGAGTCGACTTGGGTCAGGTTACCAGCAGCTTATTGTTTTTGTGGTTTGATCCAGTCTGTGTATTGGGAGAAAGTTTCGTCCATTTGCAGGGCGAAGTTTTCATTATTATAAAGTGAAAAAGGAGTCTACAGAGTTCGGTACAGACATATACTGAAAGGTCAGTTGCCTTTGTATTTTAGGATTATGGGTATTTTTGATTTATTCGTGTTTGCCTGTGCACCCATCAGTATTTTTTTTCCCCAAAACTGACACTCATTACAAGCTACACCAAAACTAAGGTTTTTTAAAAAGTAAAAATTAACATAATGAACTTTCTAATCAGCAGAATAAGATAGGGAAAAGGAGAAAAAGATGTTGAGAACGTTTGGCAAGATCTCAAGAGATTTTATTAGCATATGACTTCCAGTACATATCGGGAAGCACATAAAATCCTGTCAAAGCCCGACTGAGAAACTTTGCAGACATTTTATAAGCTCAGTCCTGACACAAGAGGAGAGGTTCTTGGTGCGGACTTATCCGGGGATCTTGTTCCCTTTGCTGTTCCACATAGGCTGTGGCCAAGACCTTCAGTGCCTCTGGGAGAACATCAGATGTATTAATGTACTTCGATTCGATCTACCAGGTATGAGAAACATGCCTGACCCCTGTGCGCAGAAGGGAAGCCGCTCTGCAGGGAATGGCCTTTCTGTGCCATCAAGGGTTGATGACTTCTTCCCAGCCAGGAGTAATGAGGGGGTGGAGTGGGCAGGATGGCGAGTTTTCTGCCTCTCTCAAGTTCACTTCAAAATCTCTGGTAATATTAGGCCTCCAGGTGGTCACTGGTATTATTCCTCCTGGGTAGGGTGATCATGATGGCCAGGGAGGATGATCGTGAGAAAGGTTTGCTTGAGTTGGAGGACGTTCAGCGGCTAAGTTCTCCCTCCTGGGCTTGGAGGGCCTCTCTTCTGGTCTTCAGGTTTTCTGGGGCTGATTCAGGTTGAGTTGGAAACACGGGGATGGAGCCAAGGCCTAGGCCTCCACCCTCTCATTCTTGGCCAGCAAGGCCCCAAGCAGTCCCCACACACAGGGGATGACTGGGAACTGGCTGTCTTCTGAGCCGCCGGGTGCCCCAAGAAAGGTCCCAGAACTGGGTGCTAGGTTCCCTGCATCCCTCAAGAGCCTGGTTTCTCCCTTTGCTCTCCCCTCACTGCCATCTCCATCCCTACTGACTTTGTCCTCGCCTCCCAAAGCCTGAATGCTGGCGAGTAAAACTTTCTTTTCCCTTCTCAACTGAACATCATCTGGCCCTTCCTTCTCTCCCCCTTCCCCTACCATCTTTCCTTCAGGCCAAAATTACTCCCTCCCCTTGTGCCCATGCCCCTCCCCTACCTCCTGAGGCACTTTGGGTTCCTTCCACCTGTGGGAGGCCTCCCCCAGCCTGCCTCCCAGCCACAGGATGCTGCAGTTTTTCTCTTCTCTCCCAAATGTCAGGCCTCCTGTGGCTTTTCTCCCCCTCACCCCAAATTCTCCTTCCTCCTCACCCTGGGTGGTCCACCTCCCAGAATCCTCTGCAAATTTCAGGCTCCGTGCACTGTCTGTCTTTGGGTCTCTTTCCACTCACCTGGTCAGCGAGTCACCTCCATGTTTCCAGACTGCAGGGACTGTGTGGAAGCATGCCTGGGGCGCTTGCCAGAGAGCTTGCGGTGCGGCATCTCCATGCGGGCCGAGTAGTCCTGCCTCTCCACCCCTGCAGCTGGCTGCGTAGGGCCTGGTCAGACATGCCCCTTCAAACTCAGACTCCACTGGACAGGCTGCGTCAGATGCTGCACAGCAGCTCCCCACTGACTGGGGGCAGGGAGGCCGTGCTGGAGCGAGAAGGTGCTTCGGGCAGATCCACTGCCCAGACAGACGTGCCAAAGAACCAGCCAGCACTCCCGCTTTTGGCCTTTGGGGATCCTCAGCAGCCCTGTTGTATTCCAGGTTCTCCAAGCCAGCACCCATGTTCCTGGACGACTCTTTCCGCAAGTGGGCTAGGATTCGGGAATTTGTGCCGCCTTTTGGGATCAAAGGTCAAGGTACGTTGGGAGCCCTGGCCCACTCTATATTAACGTGCGATCCCTCAGCCTGCCTCCCCGCACTCGACACAGGGCTGTACCCTCAGAAGTCCCCATGCTAGGGATCCACCTCTCCTTCCCGCTTCCCCTTCCTCTCTGTCTTCCAACTTCAATGGACAGCAGTTCACTCAGAGCCCACCACTTGGCCAGGGCCAGGCAGACAGCAGTGGGGTAGACAATCTAGTCCTGCTCTTAAAATAGCTCCAGTCTAGTAGAGACACAGATACTTAGAGGTTAGGATGGTAAAGGCTCTGACAAGGAAAGCACAGTGAGATCACAGGACGGGATGCCAGGGACATCCATGCCAGAGGATCTGATAACGAGGGGGAGATCCTGAGAAGACGGAGGGCATCCCCCACAAAGACCCCAGCCACCTCCATCATCCCCTCCTTATTACCGTGGTCTCCCCTCCACTCCTTTCATCCCCTGTCCAAGGCTCATCTGTCCCCTCTGCCCTCAGAACTGTCCCCTTCCATTGCCTGAGGGACCTTACCCATGTAGCTCCCTCCTGACTTAAGACTTTCCCACCCCTGACAGTTGAACAGTTCTGTTGCCCTGTCAAGTGCCGCACTGTTCTGTGGCATGGCAGAGTTTGGGCTTAGGGTCAGACATTGAAGGATCAGATCTCAGTGCTACTTTTTTACCAGCTATGACCTTCGACAGGTTGCTTAACTTGTCTGTGCTTTAGTTTCTTCATCAGTTAGATGGAGAAAATAAGACCCTTATATTAGGTTGTGGTCAGAATTCAATAAAATCACGATTGAAGGCGTGAGTCATATCATTTGGCCAGGGGACTAAAGAATAACAGAATCCTCCCCTCAGTCAGTCCATCCCCCCCTGAAAAGAAAATAGGGACCGGCAAAAGAACTCTCTAGAATGGGAGTTTTGGCCGCAGATCCCCAGGGACAAATCTAATGGGTAGGATTGAACTGTGTGAAGAACTCCTTTTTACTTGGTATGGGTAGCTAAGCAGCCTCCTCTTCTCCTAAATTCTTGCTCAAGCTCCAATCCTGCTAAGCTAGGAAGGCCTGGAAAGGCTGGTACGCAGCCTGTTGGCCAGCAAGAAGAGAGCCCCTGCTCATTTATACCCTTTCTGCTAAAGTCCCCTCCTAGGAGACAGAAGCCCAAGCCATAGCCTTGACTTTGGCCAACGAGTAGCAATATACTTTTCCTTCGAGGTGAAATGGAGGGTTCTCTGGCCTTCCCTGAAGTCCTCCAGAAGGTAGACCTGAAGGCACTGAGTCTAGAACTCTCCTTAAAGGTCTGTTCCTTACTCATTCTCCTTCAGCTCCGGGGAAGACTCACTGTGCCTGCTGCCTCCTCTTTCTCACCATTTAGTCCTGAGCACTCCCTTCCTCTCCTCCCTGCCAGTGACACTGCTCAGTGCCCCCTGTGAAATCCAGAGGGCCCGTTTCAGTCCCTAACTTGACCTCTTGGCTGCATCTGACAGTGTTGTCCACCCCGTCTCTTAAGAAAATGATGGGGTTGTTATTTTTAAGTTGGGACACATTCTTGTTTTACATGGAATACTCAGGCATATAAAAAAGAATGAAGACTAGTACAGTGAGCACCCCTGCACTGTGCACCCAGCTTAAGGAATAAAACATGAGATACAATTAAAGCTCTGTGTAGCCCTTCCTGTTCCATTCCCCTCCTTCTCCAGGAGACCATTAGTCTGGTTTTGGTGTTACTGTTGCAATGCCTGTGTATCTATTTCTGCAACATATTTATATATCCATTGAAAATATGGTATTGTTTTTGCATGTTTTTACATTTTACAGATAATAGTGTGTGTGTGTGTGTGTGTGTGTGTGTGTGTGTGTGTGTGTTTCAAATTAATTTTTTTGCTTCTGCTTTTCAGGTTTATCTGTATGAGTACACATAGCCCAAGGTCACTTCTTTATTTGTTTTTATCTCTGTGTAGTATTCCGTGTACCACATTTAATCTGTCTTCCTTTGGCGAACATTTAGTTGGCCTCCAACATTTGGCTATTACAAACAGGTCTGCAGTGAACCTTGTACGAGCCTGAAACAAATGTGAGGGTTCAGATGCTGTCTTCCTAGGAAGAGAGTTGAGCGATTTTAGTCTGTGCAAATCTACATCTTTGCTTCATGTTCTTAAGATGCTCTCCGCTATGGCTGCACTGATTTCCTTACTGTATCTCCAGATCTCCATGTACATTATCTTTTCATCTTCCTCACGACTCTGCAGCGTTGGAATTGCCATCTTCATTTGAAAGATGGGGAACTAAAGCGTGAAGAAAGGAAGTGACTTATCGGCACACAGCCAGGCTTTGGCTCCAAAGCCAATATCGTTATGTTATGTTATAATGTTCTCATTATGGCAGAGTTTGAAAGGAGAGCAGTTCCCATCACCAAAGCCAGAGAGAGGCCAGGAAGAATGAGGTCTGAGGGGTGCTCACGGGATCTGAGGACACAGGTCCTGGGCCCTTGCTGACGGCCTCCTGAGTGGAGTGCCGGTGGACAGATGCCAGACCTCAGGGGTTGGAGATGGAAGGAGGCAGACACAGATTGGCATGACCAAGACTGGAGATCGGCAGTGTTGGCAGGGGAAGCAAGGGGAAGACAGGATCAGAGAGTGAGACAAGGGGGTCTGAGTTGGGAGCTGGGAGAGCCCACTCGAGTTCTTTGTTGGTGGCCTCCAGGCACAGCGTGGTCTCTGTCTTGGGACAGGTCCTGGGCCTGGGGATCCAGATCTTGGGGCTTGACTGCAGAGCCTCTGAAAGCCAGAGGAGACCTCCCAGGAGGGGCTTTGGTGCCCTGGGAGAGACTGGCTCCAGGCAGAGCCGAGTGTGCCTGCCTGTTCCCCTGCCTCTGTCCCCTTCCTCGGGGAGAAAGCTAAGCCAGTGGCCTGCCCCTGCCCTGTGCCCAGAGCTCCCTTTCCCACCCTCACATCCGCCTCCACCCGGTGCAGGAGCGTGCGCCTCCCACAGGAGCATCGTCCGCTGATGCTGCACGGGTATGCCAGGGACCCTCTGATGGTAACCCCCTCCTCTGTCCACAGACAATCTGATCAAAGCCATCTTGTCCGTCACCAAAGAGTACCGCCTGACCCCTGCCTTGGACAGGTGAGCCACTTGCTATCCAGCCCCCTGCCCCTTGGCTGCCTGGCATGCGCAGAGACATCGAGGCCCCTCTAGCCCTGGCTGGACGTGAGCAGATGCTCCAGCATGTCCACAGACGCACATAGAGCGCACACGCGGGGGTGGTGAGCACATAAGATAAGGGGGGCCATCCAGCTGGCCTGCACCCCCTGGGCTGTGAGCGCTTGGCGATCTGTTTCAGTCCTCAGCTGGCAGAGATCTGAGGGTAAGGATGGAAGACACCGGGCTGAGATCAGCCGAGCACTGGGACTGAGGAACGGGGTGGTCGAGGCAGGTGAGGGGCCCAGGGCTTAAATGCAGGAGGCAGTGACTGCTCTGAAGCCAATGGAGCCTGGAGCAGGGAGGCCCCAGGCAGGAGGAGCAAGATGCTTAGGGCTTTCTGGTGACCAATGGAGCATGGGGGCTTCTGAGCTGAATATAAGCCCAGCCTTGGGTCCTGGAGCCTCCAGGCCTGTCCTCTCTGCTTGCTTCTCTGGCACAGCCTTCAAACTCAGCCCACTTTGCCATTCTCTCGAACTCCACTAACCCTCGGGGAACCTTTAGCCCAGAACGCCCTCCTACCAGAGGCTCCTTCCTCACCACACTGAGCTAGTGCCCTTGCCCCTCGCATAGCCATGCTCTCCTAGAGAGTATCTGGGACTAGGGATGTTCGAGTCCCAAGTGGCCCAGCTGCTCACAGTATGGCTTTGGCCTCAGAATGCTGCCGGAAGCCCATCGCCCACCTGGCCAAAGGTGTGAGGTCAGGGGCCAGAGGGGTGGGAAGAAGGAGCCCTGGAGGACAGCTCTCCAGAGGTCTCTGCCTCTGTCCCCTCAGCCTCAGCTGCCGCCGCTGCATCATCGTGGGCAACGGCGGTGTCCTTGCCAACAAGTCTCTGGGCTCCCGAATCGATGACTATGACATTGTGGTCAGGTGAGCTTCCCAAAGCAGTGCCTCAGGCACCTGCGTGTCCTGGCCCCAACCCTCATCCCCAAGTCCACTGAGAACCGTCCGTCCGTCTGGCCAGTTGGGCTGGAGGTCAGCAGAAGCCTAGAGAAGAACCCTGGTGTGGAGGGCTCTGGAAAGCTAGGTGGCTGCAGATGACCTGGGGAACTCTGGGGTCCTAGTGCCTCCCCGAACACAAGCCCGCAGGCTACACGCAGTGAGCCCAAGGCAGGCTCTGACTGGGCCTGCTCTCTGTAGACTGAACTCCGCACCAGTGAAAGGCTTTGAGAAGGACGTGGGCAGCAAAACCACTCTGCGCATCACCTACCCCGAGGGCGCCATGCAGCGGCCCGAGCAGTACGAACGGGACTCTCTATTTGTCCTCGCTGGCTTCAAGTGGCAGGACTTCAAGTGGTTGAAGTACATCGTCTACAAGGAGAGAGTGGTGAGCTCCCCGTGCACCAGCTCCTTCCCCTCTCGCCCTGGCCTTTCCTGGCTTCCAGGTCAGCCCCTTCCCCCTCTCCCCTGCCAAACCCAGCAAAAAACAAGTAGGAACCTTTCAAAAGAAGCATTAATGACCCAAAGGTGAAAGACACCCAAACTCAACCAAGGGACAGAGAGGCCAGGGGATGCCGAGGGGCACTGGTCTGGGCTCCTGGAGCTGCTCTGCCTGATACCTGCCACCCACCCAGATGCCCAGACTGCGTGTTCTTTTTCAGCCTTCTCAAGCCAGACCCTGAGCCCCTCCCTAGTAGCCCCTGCAGGCCTTTCCCTGGCCTTAGGGCCCCCTGGAAGGAAAGCTTTTCTTTGGCTAGCCACAGCATCACTCCTAACCTTCACACTCCCCTGCCCTGACCCTGTAGTGGCCTCTCCAAGCCCCTTACCCTCTGCAAGCCCTCTCTGACTCCCATGTGGATCCACCCTCCTTCCCAGCCAGGGGAGGAAAATCTAGACCCTGGGGCCATTCTGCAGGGATCGTAGACCCCTCAGTGCGCCTGCGGAGGCCAGTTTCCAAGCCCATAAGTCCTGGCCTCCTCCCACTTTGTACTTTTACTCCTGACCTACAGCTGGCTCCCCAACTGCCACTGAGTCTGGTTGCAGTCCGGCAATGATCAGCTTCTGTCCTCGTTGTTCTAGGCGAGCAAGGGCCTGGGCCCATCCATTGCTCTAGGGAGATTGTGTGGCCAAGTAGGTTGACTGCTCCTTGGTGGACCACCCACCAAGTCCCCCTCCGGAGTTCTCTTTTTCTCAGCTCTGGGCTCACGGGGATACCTGCCAACGTGTCTGAGCCCATTCCCCCTCTCCCCTCAACCAGCTGTCACCAGCCACCCCAGGGGATGGGTATTGCAGAGTTCAGGCCATTTGTCTTCCAATACCCGAGACTCTTACCAGAGGAGAGTGATGACAGATGGCCTCCGCCTACAGTAAGAAGCTCGTTGTTCTTTCTGGAGGTTTAGAGGCAAGTTTGGGGATGGGAACAACGTAACCTGCCTATGGAGGTCTCAATGCAATTTGGTTTAACTCCACAGCCCTTTCCCAAGCAATGCCAAGTGCAGGCAGTGTCAAGTAGGTAGCAAGCGAGAGAGAAGACAGAAGTCAGGTCCAGAAATTCAGGTAGGTGGGACAGTGGGGAAGGGGAACCGCCCCCCCCCCACCAGAGCCAAGCCGAACGAGGCAGCCAGGCTCCACTGAGTCCAACTTGGCTTCCCAAAGGGGAGGAAGGGAGTTGGCTTCAGCCCGCTCCAACTGCTGGAAGGCCCACTGCCCATGCAAACCAGGGAGAGAATGGGGGCTGAGGGAGCGCCCCTCTGTTTTTAGAACCGTGGCCTGAAAACTAGTGTCCTCAGGGCCTGTTCTTCTCTCTGCCTTGAAGGCAACAGAAGGGGAATCGCAGGTAGGTGCTTCTCCGGGGAAATGGGAAGGAATCGCGTTTGCCTTGGTGAAGTCCAGAGAACCTGAGGGCTGCTTTCTCACCCTGGCCTCTTGCCCACCTGCCCACCCCCTCCTGGCACACCCTCTCCCCTGCGCATAGACACCTGTCAGAGGCGCTCCTAAAGGGCAGGGCCCTCGTCCCATTGGCTTTTCTAAAACCCCTCAATGCCAAGTCGTCATAAATGAGTGGAGTTGGCTCAAACACTAGACCGTGCTTCCTGTCGAGCAGACCGGGACCGAACAGGCAGGCCGGTGGGGTGGATGTTCTCACATGTTCCCCGAGAACACCAAGGTCAGTTCGTTCAAAGCCCTTATACCTCATCCTAGGAAGTAAGGAAAGAAGGCAGAAAAGGAAAGTCAGCTAATGTCGGGAGACTCGCTGTGCTCCGGCGGCTCAGGGAGTAGACAGGAGGGCCTCACTATTCCCAGGAAGACCCTGAGGCACTCCCCGCTGGCTGCAGGCTGACCAAAGGCACTGGAACAGTTGGGATAAGGAATTAGGAGCTGTGCTCAGGCACACGCTCACCCATGTGGATGTCCGTCTCCTGGCCTACCCATGCCCGCGGATGTAGGACCAGCCTTGTGTTAGTGAGAACTCATTCCCAGGGTTGATAGGGGTGAGAGAGGGGACCGGGAGGAGTCCTTTGCAATTCCACAAGCCTTCCCAGGCTCCCAAGTCAAGGATAACTTGGGCCTTCAGAGTGAGCTGCCAGAGGAGAGCCAGCGGTGCCCATGGCCTCCCCAACCCTAGCCCTTCTTGGCGACACGGGAATCCCCTCCTGTAGAACCCTTCCCTACCCCAAGCCCAGGGCTGATGCCTTCACATCCCCTGATCTCCTTCACTTCTCCGGCATCTGAGACCCAGGCAGATGTGGGGGAGGCTGCTTCTTCAGGCCCTTCCTCTCTGGTGCCAATCATAGGCTTGTCCGGCTACAGCGAGGTTTCCAACCTTGCAGCGTTGGGCTGCTGGGGAGCTCTCTACACCTGCCTGGAGCCTCACCTGTAGAATTCTGGCAGGAAGGAGGCAGTTCTGTGTTTGGGAGCCGAGGCCTGGCTGGACGGGGCTGGAGCAGGTATTAGGCCTGGTTCTTGGCTGCTGCCTTCCACTTGTACGTGAACAGCTACTCACTGGGTATCACTTTCTGGTACCCAGGAGCCCTAATGGGATCTGGAAAGAGGAAAGATGGGAAAGGAAGATGGGGCAACCCAAAAGACAGCCTGTGCTAAGGCCAGCAAGCCATACTTTCTTCATCCTTATGGGGGCTCTTCTTGTCACCATTTGCGGCCATTTGGTTCCCTGCCTCACTGGACAGCTGCACAGATGACTCCAAAGTTACCCAGACGCTCTTTGTCTCCCGGGCCCCTGGAGTCCTGAGCTAGGTGGCAAGCTTGGAGGAGTTCTCAGCCGGCCATGTGTGAGCACCAGGGGACTGTTGAGTAGGGACTGAGGTCAAAGGGAGGGAGGAGGAACTGGGGTATGGAGGTAGAGGTGTGTAGAAGTCTGTGGTGGGACAGGGCAGCCCCCTGCTCTCATGAAATCCTCGGAGACACATCTCACTCCATCTCTCCATGCGCTCACTCAGCTTGCCGGTTGTCACTAAGGTATTGCGCATTCCTGACCCAAAGTCTCTGACAGTCTAGTGGGGGTGACAGTCCTGAAACCAGAGTTATGACGCAGCCACCTCTAATGGTAGGTCCTATAGCTGAGCGTTCTCTTCCTGATGTTTGCTGAAGGCTGGAGACGCTCCCTCCATTGTCCCTGGGGCCTGGAGAGACAGGACACATGAGAGGCAGAGCTTCCCACACAGCCACTCAGGCCCCATTCCGCCTGCCTCCACCAGCCTCCCCTCCCCATACCCCAGGATGCCTGGTAACCCAGAAGGAAGCTGCCCTCTTAGTCCCCTTGGCTGCCTCCTCCTCCTCCTCCCACCTCGCCCTCAACTGGGAGGCTGGCCTCATTGCTGCTGGTTCTCTGACTGGTTATTAGTTCCTCCAGGCCCTGAGACCTGGCCTGAGCTGGGGTGGGTGTGGTTCCAGCCCAGCAGGGGGACAGGAGACGACGGGCTGGGGTTGGCCCCTGGACAGCCTCACACAGGCCTGACCTCCCAGTGGTAGCTCAGGCCTTGGGGAAGGAGGGAGCGGCCTGAGGCCAGCCGGAGCCCCTGCATTCATGGCACGAGCCAACCGGGCCCCAGAATTTAGGAAGACAACATAGTTTAAGAAGGGACCACAGATCAGGCCTTGGAGTCATACAGAGTTGGTTTAAATTTAGACTCTGTCACTTGTTGGCTGGGTTAGCTTAGGCAAATTACCCAGCCCCTTAGATTTAGTCTCGTCCCCTAAACAGAAGTAATACTACCCGTTGTTCAGGATTGTTTCAGAAGATAAACCAGGAGAAATACAGAAGCACCTGGCATGGTGCTTGACACTTAGTACGTGCTGTCTGTGACAATGATTAATGCTATTTATTAGTATTAGTATTAGTATTAGTGCTGTTAGAACAGTCCGGTGGCACTAGGGAATGAAGGATTGTCTGTAGGGTCTGACCTAGGAGGTGACCTCAAGCAGGGGTCAGAGGCCAGGCCTAGAGGAGTGGGCTCTTCTGGGAGAGACAGCAGGCTGGGCTAATAGTCCAGGAAGTCACCAGGGCGAACAGGAACACCAAGCTCCTGTATATGAGGCCTTATTGGACCAGGCCCAAGGTGGGGCCTGAGTGTCCATCTGTACCTAAACCTCTTGCTCTGTTCCAGGCCAGGGAGGGACGCAGAGCCTTAGCAGCTCAGGATGCATATCACCTCACCACAGGGGAGATTCGGTGCAGGGTACCTGGCAAGGGCGCTGAGGCCGGCACACACTGTGCCCTCTTCCTGTGTGATGAGGCTTCTTCTGAGTCAGCATCTGGGTGTCTCACCCCACCCCCACCAACTGCTCCCCAGGCCTCGGAGACAAGCTCTCCTGGGACACCGTTTCCTTTGCAGCACTTCTAGTGGACACGGCTCATTCCTCTTCTCCCCTGGGAGGGCCAGGAGGCCTCTATGCTCACCCCCACGGCCGCATCCTAACCGTTGCTCCTCCTCAGATAAAAAGTGCTCAGGGATTGGGGTTCATGCCACCCCTGCCCCCTGCTCCTTTCGCCGCTGTCATCTACGACCTCGTGGTTACTGTGCCTCATAATCAGTATTCTCTCTGCTGTCTCCTCTTCCCCCTCTTCCTGCCTATCTCCCTCCTCCTCGTCCCCCTCCTCCTCTTCCTCTGTTTCTTCCTCCTCCTTCCAGCATCCTCATCGCAGCTGGCATGTACGAACCTCTTCATTTTGCCAGCCTTCTTGGAATTCCTTCGTTCTTGGAATTCTCACAATGACCCTCTTAGATCAGTTCTGTCACAATCCCCATTTGGGGGATTGGCAAACTGAGGCACAGGGAGAATGAGTTGCTTGCTCAAGCTCACACAACTGGCTAAGTGGCAGAGCTGAACTCACACCCAGCTCTGGCTGCTTCTGGGGTCTTCCTAGGA